TGTTTTTTAAACGGGCAATTGCTATTCGAACTTCTTCATAGCCGGGTAATGGAAGAAGTTTTCCATCATCTTCAAGTGGAGTTTCTGGTTCACCTTCTCCGGTTGTTTAATTTTCACTGCCATTCAGCAGGCAGGAAAAGTGTTCCTACCATACTTTCAGTATACTCTGAGCATTTGTGTCCGGCTCACTCCTCTGGATCCTGCAAGGGTTTGCGCCGAAAGCCTCCATATTTTTTCGTAGAATTTTCGAGTATTACACAACTCTTGGTGGCCAGTTTTTCCAGCTCCTCATACTCACGCATATCTGGATCTTTCTCTTTTGTCGGCAAATGCGTCTACCACTACCATCCCGCACGTTTTGTGGTCGATCGCAAGGTATCAGCTGTTTTTGCAACCTTTATAAACTTCACACACTTCCCTTATTTCAAGTAGCTGATGAGTGCTCTCGGAGAGCAGGAGGGCAAGTCGGGTAGAAAGTCTGTTGTGATTGCAGCTTTTCAGCGTTGAACCTTGCTATTGATCGATGACGGGCGTTCTATGACACACAGAATCGGTCACGCATCTTCGCTGTAACAATATAGTGATTCTAATCGATGCTGGGGCTCGTAGTATACGCATGTCAAGAGTACTGGATATATGTCTTCCGTCTATCAACATGATCAATTTGATTTTGAGTTTTTTGTTCATGGGACAGCTACTTGGCTGTATTTTCTTGTGCTGACCCTCAACCCATTAGGGGATGTTTCATTGTGGAGGCCTAATTCTCCGGCAGTTGTACCAAAGATACCTTCTTTGTCCACCCGGTCATTAAAATCGCCAAACACAATTTCCACATCGTGGCGGTGGCAACTACTCCAAGGATATTGACATCTTTCCCTATATTTATACCAAGCGGTAGTACTAGGCATTGAAAAGACCTGTAGAGCTATATCGAATGAGGACAAGAGCATACTGCTTATCGAAATTGCTTGACATTATAGTCACCAGCGCTAACTTGCAGCGCCATCAACATTTTTATGAACGCTTTGAACGTGATTGAGTTCCCGGTCATTGGTACATTTGCGATAATGAAAAAACTGACGACTTGGCACTGTCGGAATTTCAACTTGGCGTATCCGGAAAAAAATTCAAAAATCTTCTAATCTCACAATTTTTATGATCCTTAATTGCTATTCTTTCGTTCCCTGAATTTATAGAAAGTTTATGAAAGAAACCTATTAAAGCATTTAGAAATTAAACAAATAGAAGAGGAACGGGAAAATCGGGAGAACGAACGTGACGAGGCAAAAGAAGTAAAGAAGAAAGTAGGAAAAAGTAAAGTTTCAATGGAGCACGCATGCCACTTCGCTTGTTTACCACAAATACAACAAACACTCATAAATTATTGACCTAATCAATCAGGCTTGTTAGTGCTAAAGGGGATGGAATTAAAGTCATTGGCATATCTACACCACAGGCGTCAACATTCTTCCACTCGAATATGTATTCCATGTCATCCGAATCCATATCGTGAGCATATTAGGAATATTACCATTTGGACGTGGGGTTGTCCAATTAATGCCATGTCATACCAATTCGTGTACAAAAAAAAGAGGAGAAAAAAAGAGATTTTATGTACATAATATGAGTGTGTTTACGGAGAGATCGATTGGTGTCACACTTTGACAAACCCAATCAAGGACAGAAGGGGAACTTATGTCTTTAACTAAATTAATTTTGCTTTATTTATTTTACGTATATTTGTATGTGAATCAATGTTGTAATGTTGTAAGGAATGTGCATCTGTGCTGGATTTTATGACGAAAATAGCGAGTAGTATCGAAGGTAGTTTCGGCCGAGCTCCTGCTGCATCTTGTTATTTCTCCAAAAAATAGAGAAACCGCCTCCGAACAACTGACCAATTTTTATGAAGAGCTTTTATTTCATGTCAGAAAAAAACACTCGAAGGAATTAATATGATCTGCCGAGGGGCGACCGTAATTCGGAAAATTTACTTCATGTCCGTGCGCAGCTCAAATTATTCTACTCAATAGAATTCTACCTTCTCCAGGAGCTACAAACTACTTACGATTCATTTATTGCGCGTCCTTTCAGAATGTAGGTAGGCTGAAGTCTCTCATTTGGGGCACCAAACAGGCGCATTAGGATACCACTGAGGATTCTAATGACTCCCAACCGCCATTCGAACCAATGTGTTGAGTTTGGAAAACTGAGTGTCGTAACGTTGCTCACGCTATTTCGCTCAAGTCTCTAAAGGTTATCGCACCTAGAGATTTCGTCTTACTGCCCCAAAATGCGGTACATTTGCAATGGAAGTGCCTTTTTTAGCCCATGCTAGCCACATTGTCCTGGTCACATTACATGCAATGAGAATTCTCCATCTCGAGTTAGCATCTTTGATGAATTACTCTAATACAGTCAGCTTACAAGTTGGGAGCTACAAGTGGATGGCGAAAGTGCAAAACTCCTCCGCCATCTCGTTACCCGGCAAGTTACTTTGTCCTGTTACACATACTAGATTCAGAGTGAACTGCTTATTCATCATGTTTAGATTTCAGCGCTCTGAGTGCTGCCTGGCTAGTTGAGAAAGTGTAGATGCATAAAGATTTAGACAACTGACAGTCTCATGTGTGTCCGCCAGTTCAGCCTGAAAAACACTACAATCTGATCTGGTAGCCTGATTTCTTTAGAATATATATCACTACCGACCTTGTTGTCTAGCTTTGACCCAAACATTTGGTAGTGGATCGCGTCGTCATCTCGCTGGAAGGTCTTTTGAGTATATTTCACAAAAAAGGTTTAATACTGTTTTCATGTTTCGGAAAGCATGAAGCTTTTGCATTGTGATTTTAAATTTTTTTTTTTTAATTTAGTGTCTTACACAATGTTGAGATTATTCCAATTTGCAAACATAACTCATTTTTATTAAGATTTCCTATAACACTTTATTTATCGTTAAAAAAAGCACTTAAAAGCTTTAAAAAACGAAAGCTCGTTGATTTCTCCCCTAAAGCACTGAAGTCACCATACATTAAAAATTCATCAAATTCACCACTGGAGAGTTTAGCTTTCTCCTATAATTTTATACCGCTATTTAGAACAAATATTGCATGATACATCTTTTGTCTCATATCGCATGATAGCATTTAATTCGCTAGGTAGCAGACTGGAAAATGTGCCTTCGACGCACTTTTTATATCGATGGGAGATTGATATTTCCACAAACCACTTTTCTTATGCATCCATAGACAGTTAGTACCAGATCAGACAAAATTGCACAGATCAAGCTGCAGTAGTCTGTGGACAGCAGTGTCTGCTGGCTATATGCTATATTAAAAGGACTCTTCAGTCTAAGGTGCATATCGAAATTTTGGAAGGAATCGGGAATGTTTATGTTCCCAATTGTGGGAGGGTCCAAAAGCAGACCTATGGAGGAGATGTCAGAAATGCTTAAAGAAGTGTAGCCTTCAATTTATATTCATATTAGGGATACTGTGGGTAACAAGTTCTCATCTTTCTTTCAGCCTCTTCTCTGGGTCATGGCCATAAGCAAAATGAGCTACGAGGTTGAAATGCAACGTGTTATAGCATATGCTAACGATCTGGCGGTGATAGTGAATAAGAAATTCCTCCAAACTTAATGCGATATCATGTAGGGCGGGCTAAGGTAGAGAGAAAAGTGGTCTTATGACGCTGGCCTAGATATTAACACACAGAAATTAGAGTTTGTTCTCTTCACTAGGAAATGGAAGTATCCAAAGTTACCAGGAATAGTGCCCACAAGAACGGACGTGAATATCACTACTTCTGCTTTCTCTTAGGTCTACCCTTCATTGACATTATGAGGATGCACAATGCAACTAATATTGCCGTAAGACTACAAAGTTGTCTAAATGGAAACTGACAAACCACGGTCAAACCACAATACTCTGCATTAGGAAGGTTCTTTCTACCAGAAAGCTGCCAGCAGCTTCGAGTAACTTTCACTGACTTCACGAAAGACTACAAGATGGTACTCGATTATACTACTGGGTCAAATCTATAGAACATAGTCGGTTGGGGAATCTATTGGCCTCAATAACCGCCCCATAAGTTCTGCTTCCTCCTGCCATCAAACTAAAATTCATCGCATTCGCAACTCGGCTCCCGCGTAACTGGGGAAATTCATAGATTTGAAGTCGTAGATAACTTCGTCTATAATGGAACCGGTATAATGCCTACAACAATGACAGCCTTGAAATCCAACGCCGAATCGCTCTAGCCAACAGTGTTACTTTGCTCTGAGTATGCAGTTGAAAAGTAAAGTGCTCTCTCTACAAACGAAAACCAAACGCTAAAAGTCGCTTATCATTCCCATCCTGCTATATGGTGCGGAGGCTTGGACGATGATAACATCTGATGAGTCGGCGTTAGAAATTTTCGAGAGAAAACTTTTGCATAAGGTTTACAGTCCTCTACGAATTGGGAACGGCAACTACCGCAGCCGATGAAACGATGAGCTATTTTGACATAGTTCAGCGAATCAAGAAACAGCGGCTACGCTGGCTAGATCACATGGTCTGGTTGGATAAGAATACAGGAGGTCTGAAAGTTTTCGATACCGGTGGAAGCAGAGAAAGAGGAGGACCTCCCCTCCGTTGGAAAGACCAGGTAGAAAAGGACCTGGCTCTACTTGGAATCCCCAATTGGTGCCAGACAGCGAAAGGAAGAAGATCGCGTAAGCGTTGTCCACGCCAGTAAAAGTAGGTAAGAGTTCAAACTGAGGATTTGCTGGAACTGAGGGGGCACTAGTTTTATGTGGCATATGCGGGAGACCTTAAGTAAGTAGATTAAGGTCTTCCTTCGAAGTACAAAGACATTGCAAGTTTTTCGAAAGAAAGATTTTATGGCTCTAAGAAGATTCCGCAGACAATGCATGACACTTCTATTCAACAATTTAATTTTTTTTTTTTTTTTTTTTAGAAACTTTAAATTATTTACTTTGTACTGCCAACTTTCAACTAAAGTTTCGCCTTCTCCGTCTTGAGCCTCTCATCGCTATGTTTGGATATAAATGGCACAACATACGCGGCCACTTTCTCGGGACTACTCAAGTGAACGTGATGCTTCTCACCCTTCATTAAGTGGAATTCGACTGTGGGATTATTAGCGCGCAAAATTCTGAAGACATCTTCAATATGTTCCTCGTTAAGATGATACGAAAGCTCTGCTTTAAGTACCAAACAGTGAATATCATGTAAACGCTGAGCAAACGCCAGCAGCAGCTCCGGTGGCGTGTAATTCAAATCCATCACTTTAATGCGCGAGTCACGCGTTAAATAATACATATCCGGGTGGTCCTCCACCCGGCGCACACTACGCTCCAGCAAAAACTTACAATGCTCCAACTTAACCGACTGCCCTGAGCTGCGATACAGCAGATCCTGCAGACTTTCGTAGGTATAACGTGGCTTAGGTCCCCGCAAGCGTTCTTCTTCGTCCAAGATTTTCTCCATCGACACTAACATCGCATCGATGTGTATTTCCGGCGGATGATATGGCGCAGTTAGTGCATCAATGGCGATTATCATATCCACACTGTTCGGAAAGAGTCCAGCATAGTGAAAACTTACCGCCGCACCAATTGAATGACCGATGAAAGATATTTTATTCCATTTATAATGGCGTGCAATGCGTTGAACAACACGTATAAAGTCGGTAAGACGATAGACCATGCCGGCGGGAAAGTGTGACGAGCGACCATGGCCCGGAAAATCAATAGCCAATAAAGCGCGTTGGTCGGCTATAAGTGGCGCAAAGCGAGCAAAACTGCCGGCATTGTCCTTCCAGCCGTGGAGAGCGAGTAGCGGTCGCTCACGTTGGTCTCCGTACCAACAACCGGCTATGTAGCCCCATGGTACGGGGATGCGCACCTCAATTGGCTGGAATACAATTTAAATAATAAAATCCGTCTTGCGAAAAAAACCTGTATACATATATATACACAGAATTCTATATAGTACATACCTGGCCCTGCGTCATCGCTCACGACACTTTTCAGTTTTGAAGAAAATACAAATTACTCGCTGAGCGGTATATGACCGACTGAAACTCTTGATTATAGGAAACAATTTTCTAATCCGAATTTTCATCTGCTTTGTTGTTTTTTTTTATCTACAGCAACACAAAGATAGGCCCAAAATACGACGAACTCTGACCCCGCTTTACTTTACTCGTCTCATTATTACATAACTAACTTGCTCACACTACTAAGGAAAAGTTTTCGTTCGAAGCCAACATTTATTGTCGGTGGACCATGGCTTCAAATGCTGGCCTGACCAATATCCAAGATTACCGAAAAATATTATAAAAATTATAAATGCGGTACCCTGCGATCGGAACACGTTCCTATCATTGAGTTTGGGGTTAAAGAGGTCAGCAGTGGCGTCAGTGAGAGAGAGTGAGTGTGAGATTGAGAGAGAGAGAGAGAGAGAGAGAGAGAGTGAGACAGAGAGACAGAAAGAGTGATACAGTGAGAGAGAGAAAGAGTGTGACAGTGAGAGAGATAGTTAGAGAGAGAGTGTGTGACAGTGAGAAAGACAGTTAGAGAGAGATAGATACTGAAGCAGTTTGAGCGAGAGAGAGAGAGAGAGAGAGAGAGAGAGTGAAACAGTTTGCGAGTGAAACAGTTAGAGAGAGAGAGAGTGAGGCAGTTTGAGAGAGGGAGAATGAGAGAGTTAGAGAGAGGGAGAGAGCGACAGTGAGACAGGGAGAGAGAGAGAGCGTAACAGAGATACAGTGAGAAGGAGCGAGTGAGACAGTTAGAGAGCTAGTGTGACAGTGAGAGAGAGAGGGTGTGACAGGGAAAGAGTGAGAGAGTGTGACAGTGAGAAAGACAGTTAGAGAGAGATAGATACTGAAGCAGTTTGAGCGAGAGAGAGAGAGAGAGAGTGAAGCAGTTTGCGAGTGAAACAGTTAGAGAGAGAGAGAGAGTGAGGCAGTTTGAGAGAGGAAGAATGAGAGAGTTAGAGAGAGAGAGAGTGGGAGAATGAGAGAGTTAGAGAGAGAGAGAGTGGGAGAGTTAGAGAGAGAGAGAGAAAGTGAGCCAGTGAGAGGGGGAGTGAGAGAGATAAGAAATGAAAGAGTGAAAGTGAGAGATAAGAAGTGAGAGAGTGAAAGTGAGAGATAAGAGGTGAAAGAAAGAAATAAAAGTAGAGATATTAAGACCTTCTGAGTAAACTGCGGCACCTGCTCTGTAATCGATTTTGGATCTGTCAGACTTCAATAACTTCTTACCACCCTCCGAGAAGATACTTCTTGTTCCACAAAGAACCAAGACGGTTTGCAAATACAAACATAAGACTTGACTTTTCATGATTCGGTTCATAGGTGCTCATTTTTTAATACACCCTCAAAGCTCAGAGAACTTACCCATTACTTCTTTGATTGCTTACATGTACGAATAACTTTCCCCAACACTGTTAATGCACAACAAACTAAGGCTAAACTAATATTTATTTATTTTTACGACGTCAACAAAATACAAACATTAATTACACTTTAAGTTCACGAAATTTCAAGTTCACAATTTGCCCTTTGGCAGCAACTCACCTTTAATGCCCACCAGCTGCTGCTGCTGCTGCTGCTGAGCTTCTAGTACAGTCAGTGGACGATAACGTTTCAAAAATGGTATAATCATATTCGCCACAACTACCGGCTGATCCAAGTGGAAGTGATGTGTGCCGTCGGCAATTAAATGCGTTTCGAAATTTTTATTATGCTCACTGAGAAAACGTATCAGCTCCTTGGACGCGGAGTCAATATTCGTTGACGCGCCGCCTCTAATAACCATAAAGGGGATCTCAGCGTCAGATATACGCTTGGCCATAGCTTTAGATAATACTTCCTCGGGATTTAAGTCGATTAGATACTTGAGACGTGTATCGCGTGAGAAGTAATATTTCTGTGGAAACTTTTTCGATCGACTCAGATTTCGTTCCAAAATATATTTACAATTCTCCAGTAACATCGAACGACCCGAACCTTCGTAGAGCAGACGTTCACATTCAGCAAACGTGTAACTTGGTGGTTCTTGCAACGGTGTAGCATCTACCAGACGTTGATTATCAAGCAGTGCTTTACTCATTGTGTATTTAAGAGCCTCGACGGCGTAATTTGGTTTAAAAAATCGTCTCAAAACGACATCAATACTTATTAGTAAATCAACTTTGCTGGGATGCAACGAAGCGAAGTAGAAGCCTATAGCACCACCCATTGAATGACCCATAAGCGATATTTTTGTCCAATTATATGCTTTCATTAAACGCATTAGAATTCGTACAAACTCAAGATTATCATAGAGTATACCGACAGGTAGATGTGAGGAATGTCCATGTCCGGGCAAATCGATGCAAAGCACACTGCCCGCTGCCTCAGCGATCAAAGGTGCTAACTTAGCAAAAGTGCCACAATTGTCGAGCCAACCATGTAGGGCTATGAGTGGAGGAATGGATTGATTACCATACCAACGACCGCATACATGACCCCATGGTACTGGAATCTGGATTTCTGTAAACTGGAGGTAAAACGATATTAGTATAGAATAAAAATTAAGTTTTTCTTTTCGAAATTTGTACGGATCTCTATTATTGTTGTTCTTATAGCCGCAAACACTTTTTGGGAAATGTTGCGGGAATAACAGTATTTGGATAGAAAAAATTCGGATCGTTCTGGCATAAAGATTTTAGTCACCTCTTACGTTTGGCATGCCTTACCGCGGGAAAATTATTGAACCCTCACCCCGCAGGGAGATCCAAGGCCGATGAAAAGAAGATGAGACATTTTAGTTTCTCGTCTCTCGTGTTCAAAAAGTTAAAATTCAATGCCAAACTTACTTTTTATTTATATAATACCAACAGATATCATTGAATTGTTTAACAAATACTTCGAACAATTACTATTGGCCTTCACTATACATATATACATATGTACATTTTGAAATTTCTTGCCATTTCGCTAATAAGGTTTTTCTTTGTTTTCGAGAAATTATAATTTGGTTTTACAAAGCATTTAAACATTTCATTTTTGTTCTTTTTTTTCTTCCCATTAAATACCGATTGTACGATTATTTCTAGCATACAGTGTTTAACTAACATTTTAATGCTAATAAATTAATTTTACAACCCGAAAACGCAGATTAAAGTAAATTTTATGTATGTACATACATTTGTTTATACATACATACGTACTACATACATACACGTATATCCATTCACAAATTCACATGTAACTTAAAGTTATAAAGTTGCTTCTATAAAGTCTCTCATCAAATCATGTTCTAATACGGTTTTTTAATACTACATAATTTTTGCGTGTTTTAACTCACTTTTGTTGCTCTTTGGTCTACCATAATATTTATCAGTTCAAAAACACAGAAAGTCCATGACTATTTAACTTGCTCGATAATAAACACCGGTCCGACAAATTTCGTTGTTATTGGATTACTAACAAAATTAGCTGAGTAAACATCGCAATAATATTAAGAATAAAAAAGAGCATCAAACAGTGTTTTTATAATTTACTTGAGAGAACAAATATATTATATTAGGGAGCAAATTGAATGGGAGAGCGGAACTGTGCTGTCATTCACACGTTAATTGCAGCAAAAGCTTATAGAAAGCTCTTGGTTAACCCAAAAATTCGAAGAAATAAAATTCAGATACATTGGAAATAGTGCTCAACCTTGTATAAGCCAACGAGGTTAATTGGACATATTCTATTCTATATGATATTCCATTTATAGTACATTTTATTTTCTCCAAAATTAATTGATTTAATTTTGCTTTATTACTCTTTATTTGTGATATTATTTAACTTTCAATATTTCTATATTTTCTTGACCTTATTAAAATTTGTTGTTTAATTAGTCTATTTCATTTTATTTCCTTTTAGCATTTATTGATTCATTTTTAATATTATTTAATTTTCAATACTTATGTATCAATTATGAACATAATTTATATATTTATTTTATATATTTATTTTTTCAACCTTATCATAATTAATTTCATTTTATTTTAATTATTCCTCTTTTTATATTTTATTTTATTTTGTATTAGTTTCTTTATATAATTTTATTTAAAGCTTTTTTTATTTTATTTTGTTTTCAACTTTTTTTGTTTCATTTAATTTTATTATAATTTTTCAATTCATTTCATTTTTTTGCGTTTTTTTTTTCTTCCATTAATTTTATTTTTATTTTTTATTTTTTTCTATTAAACTTTATTTGATTTTGTTATTTTATTTAATTTTATTCTATTTATTTTCATTCCATTTAATTAGATTTAATTCTATTTTATTTACATTATATCATTATATTTTATTTTATTTATTTTATTTTATGTAACAATGTTTTAATTTATTTTATTTTTATTTTATTGTACTACTTTTATTATTATTATTGCTTTTGCATTGTTTTTTATTTTAATTAAGTTTTTTATTCTATTTTAATTACTTTCATTTTACTATTTATTAAATACACATATAACATATTTTTTAATTTCGACTTGTTATTCCGATTTGATATTGAACATTATTTTATTTTAATTTAATTTTACTATGACATTCTATTTTATTATAAGTAATTTTTTTTCTACACTTAGTTTTATTAAATTTTTTTTTATTTTCTTCTTTCAATTTTTTCTAATTCAATTTTCATTTTTTAATATGATACTATATTTTGTTAGATTTTATATTATTCTTTTTTCGTTTATTTTAATTTATTTTATTCTTTTTTATTTTGTTTTATATTATTTTATTTTGTTCTTTCATATTTTTTTCAATTTTTTTCTATTTTTTGGTTTTATTATTATTTTTCAATTATTATTTTATTATTTATTTTATTGTGTTTTGCTTTCTCCCATTAAATATATTTTTATTGCACTTTTTTCTATTTATATGGCTTTTGTTTTACTTTTTTCTTTAAATTGAATTTTATTTTATTTTATTTTTTTCACCTCACTTCATTTCGTTTTATTTTATTTTATTTTAATTTTTTTTATTTTGTTTTCTTTTATTTCATTTTATGCTATTATAGTTTATTTGATCTAATTTTATTTTGATTTGTTTTATTTTAATTTTTTTTTAATTTTATTTTATTAAGTTTTATTTCATTTCATTTTAAATTACTATTTTTTATTTGATCTTATTTCATTTTAATTTGTTTCATTTTAATTTTGCGTTCTTTGGTAGAGCTTCCTCAATATCATTGTGAATAAGCTTAAACAATTGAGCACTGACAAGACGGCGAAGAAGCATAATACTATCAGCTGACTGTCAATTTATGTTGGTTCTTTTTTTTTGGTTAGAATGAAATGTTTGTGCAATAGTTCGTAAATTTGGTTGATATACTTGAAAATATGGAATTTTTGGCCAAAGGGTTACTTTCTGTGGCACGTCAACCTAGACTAATCAATAATCTAACTCGTAAGTATGTTATTGCCCGCGAGTTTGCAAAATTTAATTGAATTTATTTGATTTGCAGAAACATTTCGTGCGCTAAGCATTACACCTCATTTGATGCAGCAACAAAAACCATCCTTGGTAAAAAATGCCGCTTTAGCAAACAAAAATGATAAAGTGTCGGAAGTTGAACAAAAAGAATGCCAAGATGTCTTCAATAAGGTCAATACACAATTAGCAGAACGTAAAGAAGGACGTTTATTCGCTATTGTGCATTTGTGTGGCAAACAATTTAAAGTCACAGCTGGCGATATAATACTTGTCGAAGGTTATTGGCCGCCAACGATTGGAGATGAAATCCGTTTGGAGAAGGTGTTACTAGCAGGAGCTAAAGATTTCACTCTAATTGGTCGGCCGCTCCTGCCACAAGGTCTGGTCAACATAAAGGCTACAATTATTGAGAAAACTTTAACCCACACAAAAACACATTTTAAGAAGAAACGTAGGAAACAATTTATGCGTATTAATTTCCAACGTTCACCAAATACCATGATACGCATAAATACAATTGAAGTTGAGCGAAAGGTAGATGATCCAGCACAAGTTATCAGTGAACCACGTATATTCTAGCTATATATTACGACTATTCTGTATACCAATTTACGTGCAGAAAGTGAATGTCAATAAAAAAGTTTGTTTTAAGACACATATGTGAAGTGCATTTTGTTAATTAACAAAAAATGCACAAAAGCATAGTCTCAAAATGTTTTTAAGAAGCATGAAAAAATGTTGCCCAGCAAACCAGAAATAAATAACTGGTTTAATAGTATTAACTTTCTATTAGTTAGGATATTCAAAAAGTTGATATCCTCAGAGCACACTCTTGACCTTATACCATTTGCCCAATAGCCAACTCGCCGAAATATTTCGTTAAGTGTATTAAGGGGAAATTTAGTATTCCCCACTTAACACTCCTCACGACTGTGGTGAATTGTTATATATATATGTATGGATGCGTTTCTAAAATCAACAGGATAAAGGAGTAATTTAAAAAAAAATGCTTAAAAATAAAAGTTTATAATTTTGTTACGACGTTAGCATTTCATTCCTTAGCCACATGCTTCAATGCCATTTTTCATACGTTAGGCCTGGTGGTAAGGCATGAAAAAATGCAGCTTCATTTCAATAAGTTGTTGTATTAGTAATGGCCTTTTTTATATCAAATGGCTCAATTTGGTATGTGCGTATATAATTACGGAGCCCACAAGACCATCATTGTCCTATGAACTATTAAGATGTGTACATTCCAAGCATACTTTCACTTTTGGGCATTACTCGTATTTTAATTTTACGATCATTATTCAACATTTTAGAATGTGAAAGACTGTAATATCATATATCAAATATCACATATATATGTACTCAAATATGAATGTATGTATATATGTAAATGTATATTTGTTTTCAATAAAAATGAATATCTGAGTGCTTTGGCTTTGGAGCTATGACAACGACATCATCAACTCATAACATGAGGGACAGGGTGCTTATTTCTGTGTCGTGAGGCTGTAACTCAACTCTTACTCTTATGTATCCTGGAAACGAGAGCAATACTTGCGTAAAATTCACTGAAGTCAAATCGCAGCATATCAGCAAGCATGAATGACCTGTCATCATGCGCCTACAACAACAACGACTGTTATCAACGCCATCCTCTTGGTGGGACACGGAAAAAAAAAGAAAATGTCCTTGTTATATTTATTAAAGTGGCGATGAATTTGTTATGAAAGAGGAACTCTGTCGCGAAATACTATCGTCACGAAAAAAAAAAAACTAGGTTTTTTAACCTTTCACTAATTAACGGTTAAGTCCAGGTGAAAAAAACAAAACGATGTAATAAAAAACGCTGTATTCGAACACTTAAAACGCATTTATGAGTGTTGATACTGAATTTCATCATAAAGAATTAATCAAATCACTTGTCTGCTGCCTGATCGAAGGACTGGAAATCAAATCGATCATGATGTGATATAAGGAAAGCATGTATCGAGTGAGTTAGATGTGCTTATTGTCTCTGCTGTTTTTCTTGTTGTTGTTGTTGTTGTTGTTGGTCTTGTTGTTGTTGTACGGTTCTCCGACCCCCCTTAGAAACAGGCTCGGATATAGGTAAAGAGGGGCATGCAAAGAGGTAGAGGTTGAAATTATTGACTCGTTGCATGCAGGACATACGTTATCTGGATTAGTAGGAGTTTAACATGCTACAATATCCAGACCTGGGTTGCACCATTGTTACGCTCGACTTTAGAGGCAGCTCGAGCTCTTCGTCTGCGGTTGTGGTTGTTTTGACTCAGAGAACGCCATTCACAGGGAGAGAGTTCATAAAGGTGTTAACTGACTCTTGGTGAGTGGCGTTAAGTACTTATTTGTGCGCCGTTGTTGTTATTGTTGTAGGGGTGTACACGTTTTCCTGTCCAGCGGTTGTTGTAGATTTTGCTGAATATAGTATTTTAAATTGCTTGCACAGCAAAACATTATTCTCCTTAACTCGTAGCATAGATGCTTCGCTATGCAAGTGATGCTCTGACGACTAGGCCCTCGTTGTCGTTGTAATCGTCTTCCAGTGAAAAAGTCGAGATAGCAATTAACTTTCCAACATAAGTCATTACGATCCCGGTCATACGCCGATATCGAGCAATCATTGGCGTATGAGATCAAGGAAACCCCTTCTGGTGCAGGGATGAGTTTCGAGATATAGAAGTTAAATATTAAAAGGGATAAACCACCAATCTGCAGAATCCCTTGTTTATTATTTCTAGGTATCAATGTTTGGCCACGAAGTTCTACCGAGAATTGACGACCACTCAGGTAGCCCATGATACACCTTTTCAGCCCCAGCGGTAATGAAGATTCCTCAATGCCCTATGGTAACACTGAATGATTGACCGTGTCAAAAGCTTATGAAAAGTCCAGTGTTACCATGACATTTCGCTCACAGGTCCGACTTTGGTTGAGACCATTGGCTATCTGGGTGATTATGGCGTTAAGTACTCTATTAGAACTGTGCACTTTGCGGAAGCCATGCTGATGTGCTGCTGGACTCACATGGTGTATAAAGGCCGGGAGCAGCAAGGTCTCAAGAGTCTTCGCTACTGCGGAGAGGAGAGATATCGGCCGATAGGACACTCCTTTGTGGCTGGTTTCCTGGTTTGAAGAATGAGATCACCCTACCCATTTATCAGGTATTTTTAGATAGGTCAAAGACAAGTTGAGGACCTTGGTGAAAAATCTGCTGCCGCTGGTCCAAAATGTTTAGCCGAAGGATTTGGAAGCTTTCGCCTGTTCGAAAAACCCTTGTACTTTTTCTTTGGAGAAATTAAGCGCCGCGCTGTTATTCGGCGCTTTGTGCAGACAGCGGGTCACTTGTCGCTTCATTTTGTCGAATGGTGCAGTGCAGAAAGTCGGCTAAAAAAGCAGCGAATAAAATTTCTACCCGGCCATCGTGTCTCGTCGGGCTTGACAGTGATTTGACTGTGGTCCAGAGTTAGGTAACCCCAAAGAAGACTCTACAAGATCTTAAGAGCTCCTATCACTTTTTCCGCTTATGAGTTTGAATTGTCACCGAATCTACTGATTGAAAGCCCTGATTCGAGAATATCCGGGATCGGCGACAACTTCGTTTACAAGTAACTTTGGAGTGAGCAATTAAAAAATAAAGTAATGCCCTATATAGAGGTCTATATTCGGATACAGACGGATATGAGTGTATGAAGGGCTTATTCCAATTAAGCTTCAATGAAAATTCGCTGGATTTCATAAGCTCCGTTCATCTGCAACCGAACCGTTTCGGAGCAGGCAAGATCAGTTTATTACATCAGCGAGGTCACCTAACGGGAAGTTCGGAAAATGACATATTTTGAACAGCGGGAGAGGAGGGCTAGATGAGTTGGTTTTGAGGTGCACGAAACGAGGTGGTTAATGTCGTGAGGGAACTAATTGCTTGCAGAACATATGTTGGGTATGCTGAGGTTAAAGTTGAATATCTAGATTAGAATTTAGTCGACTACAGTATCCAGATCTTAATTGTGGCGGTATTACGCGGAACTCTCGTGACAGTGCAAGGTCTTCATCTGCAATGTCTAGAGGCTTAACTCCGAGAACACAATTCACTGTAATAAGGTTAGTAAGATGTTGATGGACTCTCTGTGAATAGTGTTTAATGCCTCTCGGTAAGCCGGCTTGTCCAGAGGAGATTGAAAATGGTGATGAATGCAGTCCTTAATATCGAATACTCACTCGCTCATATGCCTAGGTGGTGGTTTGGCCTCTAGTAAGTATCTTTCAACATGGAGTGAGTACGCTAGCAGATATTGCCTGCACAGCAAAACAGCATGCCATTTGGCTCGTAGCATAGAAGCTTTTCTGCGGAAGTGATACTCCTACGGCATCAAGCGGCTTCTTGTCACGGTCCTAAAGGCGGGGTTTTGGCAGGATTGCAGCTTCTTCATCAGCGTCGCGCTGGTACCTCGCGTCCAGATCGGAACAGCATAGTTTATGGACAGCTTATAGAGCTTCCGTATGGTTTTAGGCGGAGTAGCTTTAAAAACTAAAATTTGCTACGCTCTACCAATCAGGAAGCTGATTCTAAATAGGCATATCAATGCTTTATAGTGTTTTTTTTTTTTTTTTTTTTTTTTTGAAATTGATTTGATAACAGAACAGAAGCTCAGAAACTATAATAAAAATTCATTTTTCCCTAAAGCCAAAACAAGCCGCGCAACTATCAAGTTCAGCAGAGCTCACGTGGCCGCCGTTAGAAAACAAACTCAACATTACAACTTGCCAACAACATAAACACGCATACATATGTATATGTATATACAAATACATACATACGCACACACAAATACGCATGAACTTTTTCGAAAGTGCAACGAGAGAGAAATACAATCGAAATGACTGATAGCAGCGGCAGTTTGAAGCAGCAACAACAACAGTCATAATAACAATAATAATAATAACAATAAAGAAAAATCCGCCGCAACATGGAAAGCAAATATTCCATTTTGTTTTGAAGATAAACAATAATATTTTCATAACTAAAAACAATCCGGCTGTCTATGCAAACAAGTCGAGTCATTTGTATGCATGCAATTGCACACACACACATATAAGCATGTTGAAGGAAAATGCCAAGTTGGATTTGAATATTCATGTAATATTGTAATTTCCCAGTCCGAAACCCGCAGCCCGAGTGGCAGAGATTCTAATGCAGCTCCTGCACATACCATACATTCGTATACACATACATATGTATGTACAAGTATATGCATGTGTGACGCTACATGGCAGAATCAACGAACGCATTGCGTAATTGACATGGAATTTATGGTAATATAAATTTTGCAGCATTTCATGAAAATAAAATGAACGTTAGCAGCAAAATGTCGACTAGGGCTAAAGCCACATCAGAGGTTCTACTACCAAAAAAAAAAAAAAATGACTACAACAAAGCTCATGTGCATGCACATTGTGCGCACGCTGTGTAAGGGTAAGTGGAACCCTTCACACCAGACACAAAACGCAGCGTCGTCTAAAGCTGTGTGTGGTTTACCAAATGCATTCATGCCATCCCTTTCTTTCCCCCGCATCCCATACGCAAGAAGGCAAATAATGTGTTGGGAAGATGAGATTTGTTTGCTTTATTGCATAA